AATCCTAGAAGAGGAAAAAAAAATAAGCAATATAAATATGAGTGGGGGTTTCATTCAAACGACCAGCGGACATCGGGACCAACTACGATCGATACGATCATACCAGTTCGACCGTCGCCTCTGACGTTGTCCACTGTGCGCTCCACAGCAAGGTGAAGCAGGCGCGGTGACCTCCGCGTGAACTAGTTTATGGTGTGTGCAGACTTGCACTGCATCTATCGCACTCTCTCCTTGTCCCTACCTGGGCCCGGCGTTAAGAAAGGGTCAAGGAGACTGGAGGCGGACGGAGGACGCAGGTGGATGGCGAGGCCGAGGCCGCACCTTGGCACTCCACTCCACATCCCCTGGTCTACACAACAATTGGCCAGAATTTTAACCACGACGGGTCAGAAGGAGAAGGACTGGGCAGCCATGCCCACGACCTGTGTACCCAGCAGGAGCGCAAGCGCACCCAGCGGCGGGGGACCAGATGCCAGAGAGCTGCCAGCGCATACCAGGATGTGGGGGCCATGATTAACTGATCCCGGCAAACCAAACGCCTACAGACACGGTCATAAAGGAATAAGTAATCACTGAAGAAGTTTGTCGGTCCAGGAGTTAAGAAAGTGTTGCAAAGTGAGGCAAACTCCCGATCCGCGAGTAATTTATCCTCGTCATGTTCAGGGCTCAAACAAACCCTCCCACGAAAAGCGTCTGAGTTAATGAGTTGTTCTCTGGCTGACGAAGCATACGCCACGCCAAGTGTCTACACTATAGAAACTTCAAAGGCACTTATTTTGTAATATTATGTAAGGAGGATGCGTGGACTCCCGCTAGACTTTTTTTGCACGACGAGGATGTGGTAAGCAGCAGGTCAAATAAGGTGGCTGACTCGACTCACGCCTTGACCAAGATCCACGTCCTCAAAGACCCTGCTGGAGGCGGATGAGGTAACGCGCCAGCCAACTCTGGGGGAGAAAGCCAGGGGTTGGAGGCCACGGCAGTCTAGCCGCATCATTTTGCTAAACTTCTCGGAGGAGTCATCAGTGTAGGGACTCACGCTTCCGGGGACGATGTCTGAAAGTGGAAGAAAAAAAGGAGGTCAGATCATTATCAAACGTCCAACTGAAGAAAAAAGAACTTAGATTTGAGTACAGTGATCTAAGCTGAGGCAAGGAGGTATTGATTCAGGCCCGCTGACAATGCTATCAGACAGAAAAAGACTGTTGTCGGAGAAGTCTAACAGAGAAACTACGAGAATACGCCGGGAGTGAGATACGTTATTTATTTCCTAAGGATCAAGAGGACTATCGTGAGGAGAAAAAACAACGACACCATCCACTTGCAACCATACCATAGTTCATACGACGAAAGAGAAAGAATTATTTCGAACTCCAAACGGCCAATTACAGGCAATTAAGATTAAAAAAACACTTCCAAATAAGAGCAGACAACAGAAGCAGCACAAATTAAGACGTAGACGTTCAGGTGTATGGGTAAAGGCAGATGTGTACCGGCAGAATTTTCACGGCTGCAGAATTTACATTTCAGTTTTAGGTTTGTTGAACTCCTGGAACCCTTCAAAGGGACCCGCTCCTGTGGAAACAAACGCAGTAATTCCGCTCCTGGTAACTTACTCCTTCACAGAGGTATACCCAATCTTCATGAACTTCGTTACAACTAGTGCATTTGACCTGGGAGAACGCCTGTAAACTTCAGCAATAAAGAACCTACCTGAATGTACCACCGGAAATCGGACCCGTAGGGAACAACTTCACTAATATTTTCCAATTTTGCACAGAATTCTAGATCGTACACCTAAAATATAGATACAAAGCGCAAGCGTACGAGCACTTGTTTCTAATTTGGTACACATAAGCACAAGCATTGAGTTTGCAAAAAATATTTTAGGCGAAAGAGCTTAACGGACCAGTTAAGATTTATTGGCTGCCTTGCAGATTATGCGCGAGGTCTTAGTGGAGGTCTTGTTGAGAGGAAGCCTAACTACAACTTACGAAACCGACAAACCCAATGGAAAGGCACATAACGTCATTAATTTTGAGCAAAGTAATTACACGGCGCCATTGGCTTAACCCAATGCATCGATGCAAAATATGTCACCAGAAGCAGGCGAATATATGATTCGGTGAAGTTGGAACGCGGCTGGGTAAATTTTCATCTAACGCGCGGATGATGACAGTCGGTTGTTGTGAATGCTCAAATTTAGCATATATCGTGAAAATGCACGGGCGAGGGAGAAAGGAACTGGAAAAGACGTTCTGCGAAAAGGCGGCCCTTTCCCTCGCGTGGCCCTCAGGGTCACTGTGAAGTTCTCCCTGAGCATCTACATCAAGCACTAAGTATGATGCTGATCACATGTGACATTCGAAGCGGATGAGGAGTATCGGACTGAAGTCGAAGTGGATTAGGGGTTGACGGATTTAAACTTCCTCATCTGTGCCCCTTAGTCCCTATCATATGCACCTTAAATAGTTGCGATCATGACATCTTGAGTCTTTACTCTCACGTCAGTTTGGGAAGGCTTTTGAGTGTGAAGAAATATATAGTTGGGTGTAACAAGGCCTTTTGTGTGCCTGTTCATCTCACCTTCACAAGACATATCAAACAGGCACATACTCCGAGAGTTCCCTAATTTGAGATAATTTTGATCGCCGACTACGAAGTACTAGTGTGATTCGGAATTCCAAAGAAAATCATCCGGATGAACTATTTGACCCTGTCGGTACCAGTGAATTGGCACTTCAGACCGGACAAGGTCGTGTCCGCTTTATGCTTATGAATGTTTTTCGTCCAAGAAACCTGTTTGCAGAACTTGGGTACCTTTTGCCGTAAGAGAATCCAAATATTGTGAGTCTAGCAGAAACATCTGCAGTTGCAGATGCACTAGAGTCAGAATGAGCTGTCAATGGGGCAGTTGCATGCACTACGTCCCGCCAAAAATCGGGAATCCCCAACATGCAGACAACGCAGGTTTCCTAATTTCTGCAGCCAGCGCCGGTCGCTCTTATACACATCAATAAACCCTCACAGATGGTTTCCAACAGTTCCATAATGCTTACTGACAAACGTTTTAACTCAAACACGGATGCATTGATCAGTAGGGCCTCGATGTCGGCGCATAGATGGCCAAGTCTCTCGTAAGGATTTTAAGAGTAAGGCTGAAAAATGCGCCATCGCACAGCATCGACTAGCGACGGCCGTCTGTGATCGGAGTCATCCTGCAACGTTGGGACCACTTAAATGTCATCATAGTGTCAGTGAAACAATTCCTGTAACCTGCTGTCAAGGCTTGAAAAGGACGTCTACTAATTAGTAAAGGATTCCAACACACCAACGGGGAAAACTTTCGAATGTCACAAGATACGTTTGTTTGGTCACACTTCGATTGCATGCAACTGGTGGACTCCGTGTCTTACAAGCTACATCGAGGCTTGTTTGGAATCAGAAAGGACTCCAAACTGTACTATAGGGTGCCAACCACAACAGTAACTTTGGTCAATGAGAGATCAACACTAATTAATATGTGTCGGTAGTGACACTGTTCGCAGCGAAAAAGGCCTGTTAATGACCTCGAAACATGGAAAATAACAGAACCGCCTCAGTTCTTAATGTACATTAGGGAGCAGCTCTCAAACAGTGTCGTCTGTCCGCTACCAGTCCAGTCTCTAAGCACCCCTCTCAGGGTTTCAGAGTAACACTTCAGACGTAAGTTTAGTAACCCAAATCGAATAATTCTACAATTTCGCTTGTGACAGATCGAGTGAGGCTTTGAAACATCGCGGGTGAAAAACTGCCAGCATACCGGCATCCTTTAGGGTGCACGCGACTGCCATGATGGCCCAAGTCTATGTAGGTCAGGTGTTATACGTGTCCTTGAGGTCTCAGGTAATCGCTCACAGAAAAGCATGCAGATGTAGGCTTTGCAATTGCCTGCAGATTCAGAATAAGGTTCTGAAAGCGATATGTGTCGGCCAAATTCAAGCAAGATGTTTAATAGTGTTACAAAGATCCTACGAAACGGTGCTAATAGGGAGAAATGATATGTTAGCGGCAGCTGGTCTGAAAACTCCGTCATGTAATAAAATAAAAAGTGCACCGCATAAATACAGTAAAAATGCAGAGTAGAAGCAATTAAAAAATACTTAGAATGAACGGGTGCTAACAGCTAGGCAAATGCTAGGCGGATGGGCTAAGAGTTATTCGTAACAGTAAAAGAACAAAAGGGATTTATAAGGTGCGGCACTACTTATAAAGACAAATAAAAGAAGTCTTTAACACAAACCTTTTCAAAGTGGCGCAAAAAGTGAATTTTCCTGTCCTAAATAGACAAGAGATGAGCAAAGATGAACAGATGTACATTTTCTCGGTTAAAAGGGAAACAAAGGTGGAAAGTGTATAATGAATTCATCTGCAGAAATCTGGCTCTACTGTTTTGTATTATAATTTGGTTGACTTTCTGAAATGGTCTTGACTTTCTGAAACGCTGATTTAGGTCTCTTTGTTGCACTAAGTTAGTTCATTGACTCCGAGCACTGCTGTCATCTGAACATTTTTCGGGTAGTAGAATAAAATTTAAGCCACCTGAGCGAGCGCTTCATTTAGTACTGTAGCAGGCAGACAGAAACGATTGTTTGAATAGATAAGGGCGCGAGTTTTGAGAGTTGGGGTGCCTAGCGTCTGAACGCTATCTGTTCGTCTTCTTCTGCCCCTTTCAGTTGAAGTGCGCGAAGACGGTGATTCCCCCTCCCCGGTGGCAGCATCCAACTCCACCTTCCCCGGACAATAGTGAAGACTACGTTGGTTTGGACTTTCCGATCCTTCTTGTCTATCCCTCATCTACGTTTCCTCTTTTTGCGTTCCCAATAAACCTTGGCATACTACGTGACTTGTCGTGTGTTTGAAGACTGTTATTGATGATGCCGGATCGGAAGTGTGATCCTAATGATGCACAAACTGGACAGAGTATTGCAGTTCCCGATGTTCCACCCCAGACTACCCAAATAGACGCAGGCGGACCCTCGGACATCGAACCCCTCGCGAGGTCGGACGCTACAATGGTGGCAGCGAAAGAGCCGAACCCGCAGCCAAGAACCAGTACAACGAACCCTATTCCATCTTCTTTTCAAACCCTACGATGGGAGTAAGGATTTTTCGTGATGGCTGCGCCGACTTCAGTTCCACCTGGACGACGTGCCAAAAAACGAACGTAGCCGTACGGTTCTTCAACACCTTGCCGACGACCAGATGGACAAAGCACTCGACGCCGGCCTCACTCGCCACACCCCCTTCCAAGTGCTGTGCGACCGGTTGCAGAGGCTGTTCCAACCTCCCTTGACCATAGAGGAGGCTATCGACCAGTTGCTGAAACGCTCCTTAGGGAGCGATGAGACTCCTCGGCAGTTCGCCGACGCCTTACTGCAGCTGGCACGCGATGCTTATCCCTCTCTCTCTGCGGCCGATAGAGACCAAGTGGTCCTTTTCCACTTCAAACGCGGTCTCGGGTCTCCAGAAGTGACGTATTCCCTGAGGATCCAGCCACCGGGCGACCTCAATGAAGCAATCCAGCGAGCATCCCGCATGCTGACAACCGACTCCCTATCAGAGGCTAATCACGCCCGGACTGAACCGTGGAAACACAACCCAGACCGCAGGCAGCAGAGCAGCACCTGGACCAGACCACACTACCCGCCGTCACAACGCTTCAACCGCGGCAGCCGACCCCCTATGTTCCGCACGCCCTATCGACCCCCACCGCCCAACACCGAGCCAAGACAATTCCGGGGGAATCGAGACAGTACAGCGGCGGCGATTACTAAGGAAGGTAACCATATAATTCCCGTCTGCTTTGATTATACGTCACATAATTTGCCGTTTTACACGACACTCTACCTAGACAACAAACCCGTCAAGGCACTAGTCGACACAGGGGCCACCACATCGTTAGTTCGGGCAGAGGTATTAGACGCTAAGTGGCTTAACCTCGTCAGACAAAGCGGCCACTCACCTCACCTCAAAACCGCAGACGGGTCACCCATGACCACGTTAGGGTCGGTTCGACTGCCCATCTCATTCCCGGCCAGCGTTAAGGAAAAACCTTTCGTCGTCACTCACAAGATGTCGTGGGACATGTTACTCGGGCTAGATTTCCTTTCTGCACATAACTGCTGTATCATGGTCAAAGATCGCATACTTTCCTTAGGACATATGTCAGCGTCTAACAACCCGCCAGGCACCGAGTTTGACGAGGAAGCCACCTGCGCGGCCATCGCAGCATCAGTTGCCTTATCACCCACAAGCGTAGACACGGTCTTACCCCCAGACGATACAGTCGCCCTCACAGACAAGGAAGAATTAAGGTCACTCCTGACTGCGTTTAGCGATGTTTTCGCATGGGACGATACCTCCTTAGGTCGCACAGCTGTCATCCGTCACAGCATTGACACAGGAACGTCGAAGCCGCTGTGGCAACCACCACGCTTATTCCACCACACTTTCAGATGGAGGTGAACGACCTAATTCAAACGATGCTGACCACAGGGATAATCCGCCCCTCCAGATCGCCATGGGCATCGCCCGTGACATTAGTGCCAAAAAAGACGGCAGACTCCGATTTTGTATAGACTATCGGCGACTTAATGCGGTCACCACCCGCGATTCTTTTCCACTGCCAAGAATTGATGTCACACTTGAAGCGCTGGCCGGAGCCCAATGGTTCTCAACGTTGGACCTTAAGTCCGGTTACTTGCAAGTGGAAGTGGAACCTAGCGACCGCCCCAAAACAGCGTTCATATTACCACAAGGGCTCTTTGAATTCGAAACCATGCCGTTCGGGCTATGCAACGCCGCCGCAACTTTTCAACGACTGATGCAGTCCGTGCTGGCCCACTTATACCCTCACAGCTGTTTGATATACCTCGACGACGTGATCGTGTTTGGACGCACGGCCCGGCAACATAACGCTAACCTCGCCGCGGTACTCTCTGCTCTCCGAGATGCCGGCTTGCGTTTAAACCCACAGAAGTGCAAGTTTCTGTGCCAGAAAGTTACCTTTCTTGGTCGCGAAGTCAGCCCGCATGGCATACAGGCGTCACAGGAAAAAGTAGAGGCAGTCAGATCATGGCCTACGCCGAAGACCCCAACAGAAGTCAGAGGCTTTATCGGCCTAGCCTCCTACTATCGCCGCTTCATCCTTCACTTTGCGGAGCTCGCACGCCCACTCCATCGGCTGACCGAAAAGGGTCGGCCATTCTCGTGGACCGACGATTGCCAACAGGCCTTCGATGAGTTAAAAGCAAAACTCACATCGGCACCGATATTAATGCTGCCTGACACGAGTCCGGAGGCCCCGCCCTTCATTCTCCACAGCGACGCCAGCGGGTTCGCGATCGGGGCGTAATCTCACAAGCCGACGAGACAGGGACCGAACGACCGATTTGCTTTGCGAGCAAAACCCTGTCGAAACCCGAGCGAAACTACTGCACCTACCGACGAGAATTGTTAGCGATGATTACGTTCATCAAACAATTCAAGCCATTCTTAGTGGGCAAACATTTCATTGTCCGCACCGACCATAAGGCCTTGCAGTGGTTACAAAATATGAAAGAAGCTGAGGGCCAGCTCGCGAGATGGCAAGAATTACTACAGGAGTTCGATTTCACGTGTCAGTATCGACCAGGTCACCAACACGCCAACGCAGACGCCCTTTCTCGCCGCCCAAGTGGGGCCGGCACCGCAGACCCAGAAGGGCCAGACGAACATATAGCGGCGATTACAATCAGCGAACCCACTCGTTACCATTGGGCAGTTGCACAAAGTACCGACCCGGACACGGCAATAGTTTATGACCACCAGCTGCATGGTCGACACAGACCAACAGAGGCCGAACTCCGCGGCTCCTCAGAGATCGCCCGCCTCTTGTGCCACCAATGGGCCAACCTGTTCGTAGAGAATGAACTGCTTTTCTTTAAAGACGCCGCATCCACCCATCCGCGGCTAGTCGTCCCGGGTAGCCTCGTCATACCCGTCCTCACAGACTTGCACCACGAGTTGGGACATGTAGGAGTGACCAAAACGGAAGCGGCCGCTAAACAGCGTTTCTGGTGGCCCCGCCTCAGAGAGCAGGTCGCCAATTTCTGTAACGCGTGCGCCACCTGTGCCTCCTTCAAAGGCACCATCCCACGACATCGTGCACCCCTACAGCCTATGATTACAGGCTTTCCATTCGAGCGAGTAGGCGTGGACATAGTCGGCCCGTTGCCTTACACAACATCCGGCCATCGGTACATCTTAGTTTTGGTGGATTATTTTACAAAGTGGGCTGAAGCCATCCCCTTACAGCGACAAGACGCAGCCTCGGTCACCAATGCGCTACTCAAGGAGTTGGTCTGTCGATACGGCGCACCCTTTTCACTTCACTCCGATTGCGGAGCTAACTTCGAAAGCCACCTTCTACGCGAGGTCTGTGACCTTCTCCTCATCCACAAGACTCGCACTACACCAGCCCACCCAGAGGGCAACGGCCAGGTGGAGCGCACAAACCGCACCATCATCAACATCCTGAAGGCGTTCGCGGAGGAACACCACCCACACGATTGGGACGTGAAACTACCCTTCGCCATGATGGCCTATAGAGCTGCCGTTCATTCTTCCACGAGCCATGCCCCATTCTACATGTTGACCGGCCGCCAATTCCGGCTACCGACAGACTCGAACGTCCCCACACAGCAAACGGCGGCCTATACGACCGACGACTATGTGATAGGGCTACAGGAACTGCTAAGACTCACGCACAACTTGGCACGCACACAGCTCCGCAACGCCTACGACAGACAAAAGAATTATTTCGACCGACAGGCACATGGGCTGCCCTACCACATCGGCGACCTAGTGCTCCGCTATCGGGCGGTTCCGCCTGTGGGCACTCCAGCCAAATTCTTCCACCCTTGGGAAGGGCCGTTCGTGGTCGCTGACGTCATTTCGCCCACCACTTACATTATTCGCGACGCCCTCACCCACGCCGGCCCCGCTTTCACCGTACAATTTGATAAGTTGAAACCGTACCACGGCAGTCTTCCCGTTGCGTCCCACTATACCCTACCCATCCTTCCCCCCATTTAGTCCCCTTGCCTACCAACGAAGTGGAAATTCCCCCTGACCCACACCCCCCACCAGGCCCCGCGGACGGGGCACTGCCTAGAGGGGGGGGGCAGTTGTAGCAGGCAGACAGAAACGATTGTTTGAATAGATAAGGGCGCGAGTTTTGAGAGTTGGGGTGCCTAGCGTCTGAACGCTATCTGTTCGTCTTCTTCTGCCCCTTTCAGTTGAAGTGCGCGAAGACGGTGATTCCCCCTCCCCGGTGGCAGCATCCAACTCCACCTTCCCCGGACAATAGTGAAGACTACGTTGGTTTGGACTTTCCGATCCTTCTTGTCTATCCCTCATCTACGTTTCCTCTTTTTGCGTTCCCAATAAACCTTGGCATACTACGTGACTTGTCGTGTGTTTGAAGACTGTTATTGATGATGCCGGATCGGAAGTGTGATCCTAATGATGCACAAACTGGACAGAGTATTGCAGTTCCCGATGTTCCACCCCAGACTACCCAAATAGACGCAGGCGGACCCTCGGACATCGAACCCCTCGCGAGGTCGGACGCTACAGTACCGTATCATTAGTTGCTGTTTCAGGAAACGCTAACACTTGACATTATGCCGAGGGAGAGAGAGAGTGGCCATGCTGAAGGTTTATTTTATGGGACATGCGGGAACAATAAAAATGTTCTGCATTCTTGTTGCGGTGTGTGGTGGACCCTAACCCGTTATGCTTCAGGCATTCAGGGTAAAACCTAGGTGTCTATCAAGCGCCGCTTAGCCTTTCCGAGTTTCGATCTACTGCCACGCATGCGTGTATTACGTACGTTTTTCCCAAGATGTACGCACTCACGCCACGACAGCCGCTGCGTCCAATATTCCCACGATGTGAGTGGGAGACACGGATAATCGACTGATAAGTGTGGGGAGTGGAGAGCCTGGGGTCGAAACTTTCGAGATCATTTTCAGGACATGTCCGTGCATTCCTCATTAAAATTAATCCGCCACGCGTGGGTCCATAATAAGGATCCAGGGGTTACGTTTTTTGGTTGCCAAATCGCGATATTATGACGACAATGACGATTTGTAAAGTGCGAAATTATTGTACCTAAATTGTAGAACATTATCAAAAAGAGAAAGTTGGTGGGTGTCCCTAGGCCGAGCATCGTGAAATCTATACTTAGTAGCTGTACTTTGGGTATTGCCTTACGTGCCACACCATCGTATCGTTTATTAACGCCTGTGATTTTCGAAAGTGCTAGGAGTTTGTTTATTGACCGGAAGTTGTCAAATGACATAGACTGTCCGTGCGTGGGATTAGGCAGAATATGTTATTTCTTCCATGAAATGGAATAGGTTTCATTTTCCAGGGCGAGATTGAATATATTTAAAAGGAGGGGCAGAAAAATTTCGTTCGCTTCAGCCTTTAAGATACTGACGGGGACATAATCTGGGTCAGGATTATGACTGCGGCTACGTTCTAGAAGGTAAAATTTATAGGTTCGGGAGCGATATTCGTTTAAACCAGGATGCTCTGGAACAGAGTACTCGAATTCTTAATAAACGTCAAGTTGGCGTCTACTGCTGAATTTTGGAGAGCGTCTGAAAGGGTTGGCCGCTGAGTCTTACTATAGGCTCTTTCGCTTCGAAAAAAAGGTTTCGCAACATTCGATGGGCGGTTTTCCGCGAAGCTGACCATTGTCCACTCGGAGATATGGTGGATCAAGAACAAAACTAAACCGTCATGTTGCAGATGAAAACGACGAGATAGTAAACGCAGCCCATGGTGTAAAGATAAACGGAGGAAAACCTAATTTGTGGCATTTCATGTTCTCTTTAGCAGACCTAAACCTTCTCACAGCTTAACAGTATAAACATTCTCTACATCATCCAGCGTCTGACTGTTAATTTGGCAAATGGAACGAATGCTCACGTCTGGTGTTGTAAAAAACATCGTATCATTGAAGATATCCTGTATGGGTAAAAAGGAGAAGAATATAGGTATAGGAATTTGTGGGCAGAATCACTGATCACTACCGCTAGCTATCTGATTTCCTACGAAAAATCTATATACGTCATACTGCCGTGTATTCCCGCAGAGATTTTACTGTTGACCTGGTGAGTTTGCCAACCCAGCATGAGCATTCTGCCAGGAATACGACCATGAAAGAAACTTGCTGGAGGGTGAAAGGCACACTGTTTTGATTGAAACAGGAATTCCATTCACAAAAGGGGATACTGATTTAGTGGTTTTAGCGGCTTATATACAAGGTGTGGAGATAACTGAGAATACATTCTGTTTGTTGGGTGGGGTAACAGTCGATTAGGTGGGGTAATTTTTCCTAGAAAAAGTGAATTTATTAGGTTGAAGGGAAATAAAATTGTACTTAGATTTGTCTATGATCTAGGCACTTGCTTTGATTCTCTAGGGACGACTAGTAGAATATGGGTTTGCACGTATGAATTTGAAGGTTTACAGGCAGAGTTCTTAATGACCCTATTTATATACAATGCTTTTGGATATTCCAACTCATTATAAAGTTACAGACATTTCCAATGTGACCGGATCACCCTACAGTCATTATGATGGGGAAACGCATCCGTACACCGCAAGTCAGTACGGAAAGATCGTGTATGACAGTGTTTTACAGAGCTTACAGTGAGTAGTCATGTTGTAAAAGCTGATTTATGTCGAAGAAAAAGAGCTAGCCAAAGAGGCCCAGTTCACAGATGCCGTTCGTTTAATGTCTAGAAATCTTAGTCCCGAAAAGTACGAACTTAAACTAAAACGTTGCATTCCACACTTTGAGACGCTCTCGGGAGTCCCACAGCTGATGCCCAATGGACCGCTGATAGTTTCAGTGCTTTTATGTCCCAAACTTTTATAAAAAAACCTCGAGCATTCCGCTTCCGACTGTACAGACATTGACTGAGACACTTTAAGTCAGCTTATTAAGGTAATGGGGTTTTTGCCCTTGAGCTCCGTATTCATATCGATAACCAGAAATAGAATCAATAACTACATCAGCAAATGCGGGAATGCAAAAGTTAGCGGTAAGCGTGAGCCAGGCGCCAACTTCCGCCGCGAAAACAATCGTGATTATAAGTACAGTAGTTTCCCAGCAAATGAGCATCTAGCCTACACTTAAAAGGATTCGACAGTTTCCGAAAGAACCACTGTATTAGGGAGTCTGTTCCATGCCCCAATGACCCTGTGAGAGAAGGCGTTCCGTCGGACGTCCGCATAAGCCAGACTTCTCTGCAGTTTGAATGGATGACCACGCAGACGGTCAGTCCCGGCAAATTC